TGGGGTGGGGAGAGGGGGAAGAAAAAGTATGTGAAAGAGAAAGAAGGGAGGCGTCAGCAGTAGCCTGTTTTCGCTTACCCGCAGCTAGCTTACCTGCAGCAAGTAAGGCGACCCGGATGATGGCACCACGCGACGGCCGATGTGGCATTAGTTTATTTGTGTATGTGCTATTCATGGTTGTACGTGGGCTGGGATACTGCCAGGGCGCCCACACCTAGACAGGAGGACGACTAGGGTCCTCAACCAAAGCCTTTGGCTCAAAAGCCTGACCGCAAGGCAGCGGTGTTTGGCGGGAAATGCAAATGCATTACCATTTCTACGGAGCAAGTCGCCACATGTTCCAACCCCCAACCTGGAGGGCTAGGAGACTGTGTTCGTCAGACCTCTACCCATTGACCAACCTGGTATGAGAGACCCTGTGAGTGTCGCGGGACACTCTCCAGTATAGCTCAATGGATCGCTGAAGTGCGCAAACCGTCACACCACGGTAAGGTCCAGTCTCTTCGTGACGGCTGGTCCTGACAAATTCCCACTCGCCTTATTCAAAGATGGAGATTAAATCTTCAATCTCTCCCGGTGGTCAGCTGTTCTCTGACTGCGCTGACCGGGCAGCGGTGGTGCTAACGGAGTTCAAATAGATTAGCGGTTGTCAAATTTAAGCAGTGCTTGCTTTTAATACAGCAGCTTCATGTACTATGCCGTTATCTGACAGACTTCATTGTGTTGCCATGACTACTTAGTTCAGCACACAGTTTCAGTCTAGGATTTTGATTTCGACCTACCAAACACTATGGTAATTTTTAGTGATTTTTTAAAGAATTTATGAATCAGAAGACACCTGAGGATAGGATGGCTTTTTCTAATGCCTCTCGGTGAGAATCCATTTTAGGGGCCTCCCTTGCGTTGCAAATAATGCGCAAAAGGACTATCTTCCCGTTCGAACGTTCTTACCTCATACTTTAAAAAACCGTCTGGAGCAACTCCTGTCAAGAACTCACTGCTTTTCTGACTACCTTGGGTCTTCTTTGGGAACCGAAAAATGGTACCATACAGGATATGAAGACTACCTATTTCGGGCTTTGGAGCGCAAAACAATATCGTATGTCTAATGTTGATTAATATTGTCGGAAGCGGAGTTATTCGCTGGCCATCCTCAGAGAACATACGTCGAAGCTGCATAGCTAGTTTCTCTTTAGCCGTCCTTTCAATGCATTTCTTTTCTGTCTCTGCTCGGTAGCTGGATGGTTTACAAGGCGGCTGTCGGACGTTGTGCATAGGTGAGCAGGCTCATTTAGTCAGATATAAGAAGTTCTTACCTGCATTCTTGTCCATCCTACCAGCGAAGATTACTGTCATGATTTAGAGTTGAGTTTCCTGCGTGCCCCTCAATTCCCGGTTAGTTTACGAAGGAGTAGCTTGAATCTGTCTGAGTACAACTCGCAGCACTAAGAACGAAGTACTGTATGGGAACCATTCACTTATAGTCTTAGATAAACCACTGTGACCATTGCAGTGCAGCCGGAGGAAGCGCAGGTAGAATGATCAGTATTGGTTAGTTATGTTACCCTGATCTTACGGACGATTAGTGGTGAAGGCCATAAAGGCACGGAGTAGATCTGAGTGACATTGACACTCATGGGATACAAGGTTCGGTCGGCTGCTGGTCCTATCACTGTTTCGTCCACGTACAATATTTGAGTGCCTAGGAGAAAACCGGCACACCCAACTACACATAGGGGGTTTGTTTACCTTGCCCACTGGCGCAGTGGTCAAGGGAGGTGATGATTCTTTGGCCCTTTGAGGACGAGGGCTTACCAACACTTGCGTCGTTTTGGACGATGTTATTGGTAGGGTTAGGGTCTCATACCCCGACATCTTCATAAAGTATTTCATCCCAGGAGTGACTTGCAACCTATGCGACATATCCAGTGCAGCCAAAATGCTCATACACCTTTCGTACCCTGAACTTATTTTTGGTTAGCCATTGTTTATATATATATATATATATATATATATATATATATATATATATATATATATATATATATATATATATATATATATATATATATATATATATATATATATATATATATATATATATATATATATATATATATATATATATATATATATATATATATATATATATATATATATATATATATATATATATATATATATATATATATATATATATATATATATATATATATATATATATATATATATATATATATATATATATATATATATATATATATATATATATATATATATATATATATATATATATATATATATATATATATATATATATATATATATATATATATATATATATATATATATATATATATATATATATATATATATATATATATATATATATATATATATATATATATATATATATATATATATATATATATATATATATATATATATATATATATATATATATATATATATATATATATATATATATATATATATCGGCGGGATGGCCTTGCTAGATGAATGCACAGTTAATTTCGAAGAAAGTTAAGTCTGTTCATTGTGTTTTTATCAGCATACACATTGCCGAACGTTTCCAAGGCATTTGTGACTAGAGGCTCTTTCTGAGTGACAGTCAGCTGGTGTCAATCCAGTAAACCAACCCGTGACGTTGGCTATCTCTTGTATGCGGCAAACCATAAAGATATGCTAACAGGTATCAGGCTTCTGTTGTGGGGTCTGCCCTCGAGATTGTCGTCTAAATTGTGCCTGGCAGCAAATCGCGTTATGTACCCTCCAGGAAATCGGCCCTTTCAGGGCTTGTATTTTCGTTGACGCAATTAATATGTTCTGACTTTACTTTTACGCAAGTAATGCTAAGTTGGAAGGTGATCCGTCGTGCGCATAATGCATAAGGGGTAACGAGTTGAAAAATTGAAGACAAAGGACCTAATAAGATGTGGTAGGTTGAGACGTCGAAATACGGGTTTTCGAAGTGCTGAGATTTTCTACGTGTACGGAGAATGGATTCAGCTGTTTGGAAAGGAATCCAACATGTCAGATACGAACAATACCAGTTGCGTTCAGTTCAGTTCTTCAACTACAGCCCATATGCCGAAGTACAATGGTCTGAGGATAAGGAGAGGGATGAAATGAGATCCACGCGTTGGATGCGATGACTCAGTCAGTCCATTGACGTTAAATGGCTCTGCTTGTTTTTGGTATAGCAAGGAGTAAGTGGGTTACTTACTGAAGACAATCACCATTAGCTGTGTAACAGCCATATATGTCAGGGTCAGCAACCATTGATTTGTCTCTACCCGGGGTCTTTACTCTTATTAAGGGCTTTCATGCTTCGTTACCAATCCATGAACTTATCGTCCCTGGGTCGTCTCTACCCGATAAATGACTGGGCGGGAGGACTGCGAAGCATATGGCCATCTGGCATATGCAGTATATTAACCAGTGTAACCCATGACCAGCTACTCTTCCTGAAAACCATCAGACGTTCTCGGCATAACTAATCTGATGTTCCCAGTTGACTTGTGCCGTTAACCGGAAGTATTTATGGCCAAAGACGGATAGTTTTCGAAGATCGTCGACGTACTCCTGAATCCTGAGCAATCCCCCAGGTAATGTTCCGATCCCTAGTCCATTTGTGACCTTTTGAGAATGAGCTTGCGCGGTTTCCCTCGTTTCAGTCACCTTGCTCATATCTACCAGTCGGTTAGATAACTAGCACTTTTCGAATAATAAGAATTCTTCAGCTGTAACACCCTTTCGATGTCTAGCCGCCATGCCACCCGAAACTTTTTGAAGTCACTCCATTAGGCATTTCTGCACATTGTCCGAATGGATTCTTTCGGCCATTAACGCACGCGATGCAGCAGATCTTGGCATTGAAATTGATAACACCCCGTATGCCGGTGAAATAAAAGGCTTCTCACCGCGGGTGGGCAAGGTTTCCGGCTGCCACCCTGAATATTCCACTAGACAGTCGCAAAATTAGTCACCATTCCGTATGGATACAACATGAAACTCTTCGACATGGCAAACAGGAACCAATAGCCACTTGGTAAACACAGTACACTTCAATGGTTTTGTGGGTACAAGCCCTGTATGTATTGGGTTGGTTCAAGTGAGATATGAAAGCATGTTTCGAATTCGTTGCTATACCTTATGATGTTCCGACCGACGTTTTCGCGTCGAGCTACGGCAAATTTACATGAATTCTCCGAAGGCATGTCTGGGAATTCGTGTTTTGCGCACTGCTGACCGTTTTCACCAACCAAGAAACAGCGCTAGGTTGCTTGTCTTCGCTTTTCAGAGTATATTGCCTTCGGTAGATATTCCCAAATCTCTTCTCACTACTAACATATCTGTGCCTTTCTTACCGAGAAGAGCTGATATATCCACTCGTTTCTCATTGGTTTGATCTGTTTATTCACATCCATGTTGTTCAAGCATTAATATCGAAATGTGCCACCGATTTTGGTGGGCACAAAATAATTTTCAGTGAACACCAAATTATAACCCAGATCTCGGTACCTCTTCATTATTGTCACACATTAGCGTGACATTAGTGTCACATGCGCTCGTCTGATGTCAGTTAGTCTTGAAAATTTATGATTGTCCAGTGTGTGAACATCATCTATGTCAACCCTTTACAGCTTTTCGACTGGTGGCTCAGTACCTATCTAAGCGCACGCGATCCTGTGGTGATTAACTGCAGTCCGGCCATGAAGATGAAAACCAATGTGTTTCGAACTGATCAGGAGTGGCTCGCTTATGCCACCGCTGTTGTTCTGGGTGTACTTGGATTCAAGGTATGTGAGTGTCTTCTGTACTTTCCTTCCGTTTTACCAGTTTTCTGCATGTCACAGCTCCTATTGTTCGTATTTGCCTGTTTTCATTACGCTTGCCAGTCTGATTCCCGGTGGGTGTCGGTGGAGATTTAATGTACCCTTGGTGAACATCCCTCAAATGCCGAATTGAATCTGCTTACAACCATGGGGAGGCTTCCCCCAGTCGTCTTTTGCCTTCTGTAACATTCATTGGTGATCAGGACTACTTTGATTATTGTATACAATGCTGTCCTTCGACAAAAAGCCGTAAGATTTAGAGGTGTTCCCTGGACAAGTTTTCTCTCGTTGAGGGGCGACCAATGAAAGCTATCGTTAGCCTACTTTCTGTACTGTGGTCATGACATTTCATTGATATCCGGGTGTCCTCCAACAGCATGGGATTTTTCATTTCCTGTGAAGTAAATGTCTGTGCTTTCCGCTTATTAGCTCACCATGGTGAATCTATATGGTAGTCATCAACCCACGTAAGCTACATAATGAAAGGTCACTGGTTTGCTTATCTACCTTACCGAAGACGGTATGTTACTGCGGTGTCGTATTGTCACACAGTTTGGAATACTAGGACTGACAAGTTGCTATGCATTGAATTGTCCTCAAGTCAGCATTCCAACCGTGAAATGCCCAAATGAATGAAGTATCGACAGAGCCAAGTCAAGTATTGAACAACTATGGCTGTTCAGTGTATTTGCTGTGCGTATGACTTATCCTCTTTAGAGTCCTCTTTGTGAGTCGAACGCCAGTTAAATAAAACAAGGCTCCAGAATTTTCATGGGAACCGGTCCTGAGTGTCTTCTTGCAGAGATTAAGTTGCTAGCATATAAACTTCCCTATACGGGAGATGGCTGCGTTGCTTCACGGGTGTCTTTTTGGAGCATTTATTCCATCCGAGTCCCCATTATCTTACGCCTTCCGGATCTAAGTAAGGGTGTTTGTATTTCTGAAGCAACATGGCATGTAATCAGAAAATGGATAGGGGGTGACTTGAGAGCATCCGCGTGGTATTTTTAACTGGATGACTGATGATCCTATCCATTCGACAACCCGGGCCAACTTGAAATCCAGGATTTGGATTGGAATGCCAAGATGTTGGGGCACTGTTTGAGGAAGTTACTGCGTCAGAAAATGCAAAGTGTCCGAAGTAGATATCTCCATGTGTTCGGTGTTTATAAAACTATAGCTGCATCTACTCTATGCCTTCTATACCCGGGATGTCCGCAACGTACCGACAGTTTGGTTTGGTTTTGCACTTAATTTAATATACTGAAAATAGGTCACCTGATCGCCTGCATTACTGCCTCTCCTCGCCCTTGCCAGGTGTTCATTACCTGTGCTAATGCCGACAGTCTACTTGCTCACACAAGTTCGTGCTGCCAACCCCACTGTGCATTTACTCAATCCATAGACTGTTTCCTGTTTTCCAGTTTCACCGTTTCACACTAATCGGAAAGGCCTTCCAGATCTGTGAAAGTACTCACCAGAAACATGCGAAGCTTCGATTTGATAGTTTGTCGGAATGCGCACCCTGTTCCGTTTTTTTTTCTGGCTGTGTTCATTCATACAGGTCGCGTTAAGTGAATAATTGAAATTGAACACGAATAAGAGTAGATAAAAGACGGAACGACAATTTGCGGCATCCCTGATGGCATCATTTACGAGTTGTGATGATAGAAATAACGAGGAATTCACCTCAGTGGCGTACAACACCATATGTCCACACCCATTCATTAGTTTGGCTTGTGCCTGTTCGTCATGGGTGCGGAGAAATCCGCAATCAACCGATCTGACTTGTACCTCGCGCAACTTCATATCGCAGCATTCGGTAAGATCGTCGGCACTTTATTCGTGAAGTGAGAAATAATGGACTACCCAGAACGACGGCCCTTTCGACATAGTTATATGTTTCAGGGTCATTCATAGTCAATTAATTTGAGAGAGAGAGAGAGAGATAAGGCACCGAATGAAAGGGTTCTTTTGCTTAGCTGCGTGGATCTCCTGCTTGTGAGCGCATCGAATTCTATTTGCAACTGCTTTTGTACACTATACCTGGGTTTGATTTAGAAGATTGATTTTGCGGGAGCGGTTGAATAGTAGAAACGGACCAGGTGATGATTGCCCATTTCTGTGACGCATTTCCAGAATCGTCCGATATCGTTACTCCAGAACGTTCGAACACACAGAGTGGGCTGATGTCACCCAATCGACAAGCTTGGCTATGCATCCATCTGAGCTGCACGCACTTTCTATCCATTATAGGTATTGTGCTAAGCATTCAGAGTGGCTGCCTGGGAGAATGTTCCTGTGAGTCTGCGTGTTCCCGTTGTTGTTAGGTATGACTTCCCGTTTTCCGTCCATATTTTTCACAGAGCTGATTGGATGCCATGCTTAGCTTCAAGTTTTTACTGCGAATGATCTTCCACCCTGCGCTACGCTCAAAAATTTAGACAGAATTATCATATTTTCTGTCTGCGCTTCGCGTTTTCGATGTTTATCCTAGTAGTCCAGAATGAAACTGACGACTCCTCCCCGTTGTGCTTACTGTACACGTTGGTTTCTGGTTAGCTATGCGGTTTTAACTGTTGGTGTTATTAAGTGGTCGGGGGATAAATACAATTTGTACCAATTTCATAGCAGTTTACAATCACTTTTTGAAAACTACCGACAAAACACTCGCCAGCCATTTTTCATCTACAGCTTATATGGCCTTCGAGACTTCTATTGGATATTCGTCGATATTCAACCGTTCTTCCTCTGACAGCAACGCTTGGTAATTTGTGCCCCTGAGTGTTGTCAGCTCGTTTGTTCATTATATACACGTTTATCTTGTCAGACCCATGCGTGGATGTTCTTTGTCGGAACGGACCACATGGGAGGGACCAGATACTTTGTCCCTACACTTGACCATAGTTCTAGATGTATTTTGAACAGCTGTACCATTTGTTCCTGAATCGACTATAGATAGTGACATGAAAACAACTGCTCCGTGCCATTGTTGACAGAATTTTTTGGCTTCGTTCTGCAGGAGTGTTAATTAGAATCTGTATACTGACCAAGAGCTTCGTTATGGAGACGTGACAGACATAGAGGTTGTTTGCTGTATCCTTAGGATGAATTTCGGGATTCCCCGTACGCTCAAATGTTCGCATTTTCCAAGAGTTTCACTCGTAATCTGGATTTGCTCATTTATCACCATTCCATGTAGAAAGAACTTGTCATAGACTTTGTGGAACGTATCCTCATACGGAGGTGTCTCCCATATTTTACACCTGTTTGCCATCTTCTAGTCGCCCTGATGGCTTCTCCGCCCAACCTCTCCGTTCACTGGACGCGTTTTCGGTACCTGGTAGTCAAGCGACACGTTTCATTGTTATCGTTATGTCAGATTCGTTGTGAACTAGACGATATATCGCCTGATTAGTTATCGGGGGCCCAGCTCCAGTGACGGTGAACGGATTTTATCTGCAGTAGGCCACATTTGACAACAGGCGGCCAGTACAATTTGGTCAGGCGTCTTTTTTATTTACTTATGTAACTGCCGACGAGGACCGTCAACGCACATGTGCATTGTTTTTGTTGACCAGACGGAATGAAACGTAAGTGAATGTGGATAAGTAACTGTTCAACCGTGACATGTCTGCAGTATAGCTGGAGGGAAGTGTGGAGACCGATGTACTGCTAGCTTGCGTGAGCCATGATGTGGTCCGAATCACGAAACTTTCGGTTACTCACTTTTTCTGAAACCTCCGAGCTTTCTCGGTTTACAACATGTGGATGACCCATTAGTGGTAGTTTCGTTTGTCCTATCGTGCTAGGGTGTAGTTGAGTCATTTACAACAGTACCCTTTAGAAGTGGCCTCTGCGGGGAGGGGTATTGGACCCACTGAGTGGTAGCTTGCCAGAAAATTCTTGTGGTCTCTTTGTGAAGAGAAGCCTTCTTTGGGGATTACTGTAAGGCGGAGGCGTCGTGTACAGCAGCACCCTTTTTCTTTCATGGACTTTCCTGATTCATTTCGCTGTGCTTCACTAGGTGTCTACTGTAAGTTTCCACAATAAACTAATGTGATTAAGGCAGAAAAAGTATTACGTCAAGCGCTTGCCCTGTGAATCATCACGGTAATGCCACGAAAACTGTTTCGGCTAACACAGATCTGGCTTTCATGTACGAATGGCAGTGGCCTTGTCAGAAATCAAAAGTCTACTCTCTGCTATACTCAACACGGCATCAAATACAGTCGTTGAGTCAGTGTGGGTTTTGCTCTTAACTAGATGGTGGGCGACTGATGAGACAAACAAATCAGGATGGCGCTCAAATAGGCAATAAGACTAGTGAAATCTCGAGTACCCCGTCTACCTGGTGAGTCCCCAGAAGGGCGGAGCCGTTAGGCGATTGTCGAAGAGCTTTGACCAACCTTATGGGTAGTGACGTGGTCCTAATTTAATTTTGGTGTTGTGTGGATGCAGTTGGTGTTGTCCTGCTCTCAGTGGCCCATCCTGATCGAAGTTATCGTTCCGTTCCTTCAGTGTAGGTGGCTATGCACAGGTGCATGGCAGGTGGTACTAATGGCACAGATACCGATGGCAACTTCAATGTCTTTTGGAAGGCAGCACTGCGTCGCTCCAACGATGGTACGACAAACTTGAGGTCTGCTGGAGCCATTCCTATTCGCAACTGGAGACAGGATCTATGTAAGCAGAGGCAGTTTCCCGTGGTGACCTGCAGAACATGCTTCTAGCAGTACGATTGGTTCCCTTTCTTTCTCCCGTAATACACACTCTAACCGACACAGGGAAATCAATCTTTGAACAATACTGGAATAGCGGCGAATATGGGCCTGCTAGGAGAATCAGCCTAGAATCGCTGCATATCTCATTCCACGCCAGCTTAGCGTATAGCGACTTCAACCAAGCGGTCAGACTAAGAAGTGGCACTGGGATTGCATACGTATGGTGGTGCCCTGTAGGCT